CTCTTCTCCATCGATCCAACACCCTATTGTTGCGCCTCTCTCAACGCAAGACCTTCGAGCTCTTCTCCATCGATCGACTGTTGCTCTCTTCTCCATCGATCGACTGTTGCTCTCTTCTCCATCGGTTGTTGGTCTCTTCTCCATCGATCGACGGATGTTGGTCTCTTCTCCATCGATCGACGGCTGTTGCTCTCTTCTCCATCGATCGATGGATGTTGCTCTCTTCTCCATCGGTTGTTGCTCTCTTCTCCAAAATCGATCGATTAAGGTATTTGCTAATGTTAATTTTTGCTGTTTGTTTAAGGTATTTGTTGTATGGCATTTGGTGATTATGAGTTTTGGTTATGTTCTTTGTCCTACTTAGGTTTTAGGTTACAATGACTGTGAAGCATTTGGAAATTAGAAATTGGGTATAAGAAATTTTCGATTTCAAGCTGTTGTTTGCACCTTTAGTTGAGTAGTAAATAGAGATTATGGTATATATCATGGAAACAAGAAATTTCAAGTTGTTGTTTGTCTTTTTTAGGTATTTGTTGTTTGCTCAGGGGTAAATTGGTTATTTTTGTTATTCAGACAGAAAAGTAAGCAACAACATAAATTTATCCAGACAGACAAATTTATCCATACAAGACTTAATAGAAAAATTGGTAAACAGCCCCTTAGTGGTGTAAGGGCGACCTGGCCCGCAACTTAGATCATGCCAAAAGTTGTTCGCATCTCTGATTTAGTACTATATGTGATGAAATAATAATATCATATGTAATCATTCATAGTAAAAAGGGTGTTCTCACATTCTCCTACAATGGAGATATTCTCGTTTGAACCCTCCCCCCTATGTGTGTGTGTGTGTATTCACAATGACGTTGTGGGACTCGAGTACCTATGAGGAGAATCCATAAAGACCCAAGGCTTATTTTATTTTTTTGAAGATAATAGTATCACATGTGATTGTCTATAGTAAAAGAGTGTTCTCGCGTTCTCTTAAAATTGAGTTATTCATATTTGAACCATTCTCACACACATACACACACACACATATATATATATATATATATATATATGTGTGTGTGTGTGTGTATGTGTGTGTATGTATTCAGACATTGCAGGACTAGAATCCGTGATATGTGAAGAGAATCCACAATGACCCAAGTCTTATTTTATTTTCTTGGAAGGATGTTCCAATATACGTCTGGAATTGAGCTCTGAGCAGATAGGATATTCCACCACATCTCCTGAGATCTCAACCATTACACCACAACCTTTGTATTTACGCGAGTCTTATTGTCATTTGAGTTAAACACATAAAGTTCTGATTTCGGGCATTTAAATAAAAAAAATGTTTGTTTTTAAAAAAATTGTCATTTAAATTGGAAAAAGAGTAATTTTAAATCAACCAAATGTATCATTAAAAATGGAATATAATTAGCAATTAACATGAATTAAAGCAAAAAAAATATATTAGTATTATATAAGATAATTAATGAGTGGATTATGATTGGGATGTAAATAATAAATATGTATTAATTGGTAAGTAAATGAGCATGAATGAATATATATGGTTGTTGATATCCACCTCTGTTTATTAAAACGAAGTGGCACCGCAATAGGAGACACGAGAACGAGCAGTGATGTACTATTTCATTTTTACAACACCACCTCCCAAACTATCACTTAATTACAATTTCCCACCTCTTCTATCACTCTTGTTATATAATTATTTTTTATATTATTTCATTTATGTCCAGGTTAATGCTATGATCTACATTTAAATGAACGAATATAAATAGAAAAACTTTTGTTTGTTTTTACTGTTCGTTTGTTCGATTAAGTTAAACGAACGAACAAAAACAAGCCTTCATTTGTTTGGTTCGTTTAAGACCCTAGAATATAAGTGAGGTTAAATGGGGAAGGGTTTTCTTGTAAGAGTTTAAAAAAAAGGGGGCAGTTTGCTATTTAAAGAAAATACAAGGAGGATATATGAAAGTTTTGGGGTGCGAAGACAGAGAAACATGTGGATAACGAAAAAGTAAACTTGTTTGACAGCTGTTTTGTCATGACGTCCCATGTGGATATTATACCGTTTTTTCTTTTTTCGGAACGTGAACTGATTTTAATAGTAAATTACGTTCATCCTTCTTAAATATGTTTTATAATATGGTGATATTATCCGCATTTTTACATGAAGTAAATTTAAGTTAAATCATACGTGGTTTTAACTGCCTTTTATAACTGTAAGTGTTTTGATCAATTTCTATATACTTTAACTAATTTCATTTGACTATGAAGTAAACGTTAGAGGTAAACATCGAAGTAAACCTCTAGTGATCTTGAGTGAACTCGAATTGACAACTAATAAAAAGCTAACTTAATGTTTAAACAACTGAATTTTGATTTATGATTGAAAAAAGAGACATTTTGTTTTCCGGACATGTTTTCATTTTGTTTTTGTTAAAAAGAACCCATCCTCTTTACATTATCAAAATATAAAAAAGCATGCCTTATTTTTTGAAGGTTGGTAGAATCCCTTGTTAAGCAAAAAATAACAATGAGACAAATATAATAGCTTAACTAGTAAGACATTGAATTTACTTAATAGTTTCACTTGGACCATGAAGGTTTATTTAAATGTCAACTTCGATATTTCGTAAAATTAATCAAGGTGTAAGCTCGTTTAAAATATTCACGACGATCCAAAAATTACAATAGTTTTAGTTTTAAATTGTTTTAAAAATATAACATTTTGGCATTAGTTTTAGAACCAACTTACCTTTTTACCCTTATTATATTACTTAGAAATCAACAACATTAATCATTTAATTGTGGTCCACAACTTTTTTGTCTCTACTTAAAAAAATATTTTAGACAAGACGAATATAATGATGGCAATAAGTAAACAAAACACAAAAAAACACACACACACATACATATACATATATATATATATATATATATAGACTTGGGATCATGTGAGACCAGTAGTTTTTCGTGAGACCCGTAGTTTTTTGTGAGACCCGTAAGAACAATTCTCAACCATTGGATTAGATTTACAATCGTCAGATCTGAACATTCATAAACGCCATGAGACTTCCCAATAATTACATAATTGTCATCTTGCAACTTTAGGACATTAGATCATTAACTTATAAACTTGAACAATGAACATACATTGGTCTTACGGGTCTCACGAAAAACCCTTGGTCTCACGTGAACCCAACCATATATATATATATATATATATA